GTCTCTTAGTGCAAGTGGGAATCAAAAGAGAAGTTTGGGTGGACAGAACCTTATGCTTTCTGTCCATAACGCCTGGTCTCCCCTTTTATGACATTTGTTTATTGGGAAAACGCATAGCATGGCTATGGCTTCATTGGCGATAAGTTTCCTACCATCTTTCATCATGTGGCTGTCTTTCATTTTATAATTTTGTTCTGCCTTTCATTTGCCAAATGATGATCTAATGCTAGTGTTTGCTGTACTGCCTAGCCTACTTCATAGACGGGGGAAAGTTGGTTCATGGAATTTTGTCCATAAAAAATTTTGGTGATGACCATCATCTTTAATTTCTTTATTATTATTTTCACATCATTTGCTCGTTGGAGAATATTACTTACCACCGAAAGGTGTTGACAAGATGATAAAATTACTGCTACTTACTTACTTAATTAATTATTTTTTAAATTTTATATTCTTACGAATGATTAAAAATGTCCATTCGATTGATTTAATTAATTTTAATTTTAATTATTTAAAATTAAATTAACAAAATTATTTTATTTTATTTTTATTAATCGAATCTAATTTTTTAATTTTAAAATTAACTGATCAAAATTAATTGGATCTATTTAATTAATTTTTTCAATTAATTGAATAATAAAATATATTAAATTAAATTAAATTTTTATTTTTTATGTGTGAAATAAATTAAATAAAATTATCTAACAAAAATATTTAAATATCAAAATATTAAGTTAAAAACTCTAATACCTTGAAATGAAATGAACAATTTCATATATTTTTAGTTTTATATATTAATTTTATAATATTCGATTAAAATTTTGATTAATTCAATTTTTGACTCGAATTAATCAAAAATCAAAATTTCTTTAAAATCATTTTTACTAACCAACTAAAATTAATTTAATGATCAATCAACTAATAAAATTAATTTAATTTAATCGATTTATTCAATTAAAATCGAATTATAAATACTTCTATTTATAGTTAAAGCTATTAAGGTATTCATTAATGGATTTTCCTAACAAATATTTTAAGAGTATTTTGTAAAGTTATTTTTGTATAAAATAATATTGTAAGTGCTAAGGTCAGCAATTAGAAAAAATTTTGAGATTAATTAAATTCAAAGAAAGCATGCAATAATTCCAAAGATAATTGGCCAATTAGACTCTGCCATCCCAAAAACTTAATTCTAAATCTAGGTCAAACCCTATCAAACAATTCTTTTGATCATAGGCTATAAGAAAAAAAAATCACAAAAAGTATATATTTTTACATGGTCAATATTGTTTGATTGGCTTTCGATTTTCCAACTTTGGGTCATTAATCAAAGGCCTAATCATATATCCATTGTCCTTTTCTTTTCTTTTATTTACACCTACACAAAGGTTAATATAATAGTGGTGGAATCACCATCATTAAAGAATAATTATGTCATTAATAATTTAATTAATTGGGACAATGCATGCATATCCCTTGTAGCTTTTACAAGGTTTTCAAGCTTATTGGCTGTTTCACAAGACAGTGGATATAATTAAAAAAAAAAGTTGGGTTTGGACATTGAAAATGATAGAATAATAATAATCATAATAAATCGGCATTGTGGAATAAGAATAATTAACAATTTAATAAATAATAGGAATAGTAATGTTAGTACGTATACTGCTAAATCTTTTTACAAAGTGGAATTCCGATTCCCCGCGTCATTATTTTTTTATTTTGGAGTCAACTTTGAATTTATTCATCCAGTTGGCTCTAATTGGCATCAAATTTTGCTTTTATTTTGAGTACATTCTTAGCATTATTTTAATTCTGTATATCTTTATGTAAAATATTTTTGTGTACCCTATGAGATGATGATTTGACTTTTCATGAGTGTGTTTCATGTTTATTCCTTTACTTTGGTAAGGAAAGCATTCCATATTAGTTAGTCATAAGTTATAATATACTATATGTTTTTATTTTTTTATATTTGTATTGGAGATTTAAGTGAATTAATTTATATTATTACATTTAATAAATTTATAATTCAAATCTTAATAATTTATAATCTCTCCCCTATCTTTATATTGTAATTTTTTTTACCAATGGCAATTGAGAAAATGAGAATGGAATTGCTTTGCCTACAACTTAATTGGTTAAGTTAAAGAATTTGATAATTATTAATATTAAGGATTCTTTGACTGGAGTCACTAAATTAGGATAGTATACATCTTTTGGTTGAGATAGAAAACAAAAAGAAACCAATGAAAAACCTAGAAACAATGCCAAGACGTAAATGTTATATGCTGCACCATTTAAAAATCCCCTCAATATTCCATGTTATATATTGATCTAAATTTTCAGTTGAAGAAGTGTCATTGTTTCCATCTTTATGTATTGATTCATTTGATTCAATCTATTAGGAAAAAATGTTTTTTCGTATATGTGTAGGTATAAAGGAATTTCAAGGAGAAAAAAAATCCTAATTATTTTAAAGAAAAGTAACAACCAGTAAATTAAGAGTAAATTACATGTTTAATCATAATTTTTTATTTTAGTTATTTAATTATGAAAAATTATGATATGGTGATTATTAATATTAAATTTTTTTTCACTCAAGAAGTTAATGGATTTAATTCTAACATGATATTATCATATTTTTGACAATCATCATATAATATTATTACATCATTTGACATTAATTTGTCATGTAATATTGTCATATCATTTGATATATTACGTAATTATAATTTTAAAAAAAATTGAATTGAAAAATAAGAAAATTATAGGTGATGATGGATGGTGGTTGAAACGTTAGGTAAATGCTGGTTGGACTCAGTCATTTACCATTAGTATCAAAGCATGTGAACCCGATGTGAGCTCCTATAATAGATTGATGAAATCTTGAGCTAAAAAGCTAATGAAAATCACCTGATTTAGGACCCGTTAATCCTCTTGTCATATTCCTTGTATAGCCTAAGGTGGTCAATCAATCTAGAGATTAAAGTAGAGACTATAGGATGAGCCAAACATCCACTTCGAGTCAATAGTTAGGTTTTTTTCATGTCTTCAGCTAATCGATGGGGTAGAAAATGAGTTTCGTGCTTTATAAAATACCCAATTATATAAAGATAATTTAAGCTTTGATTTGTATATGTAGGTTTTAGTGGCTACAGATATATTGCTTTATAGGTAGACAAGGGGCATCATCATCATCATAAGGTTCCGTCCTTTGCCCTTTCCTCGTTTTGTGGCAAAGCTTTGAAGTTGGTTTTTCATGGCAATCTCTAGAAATTATCCATTTCAGTCATTAATATTATATAATTTTTTTAAAAAAATTAAATTGTTCTATTGTTTTATTGTATGATTTTTCACAAAAATTAAATACTATTGAATTTATTATTTATTGCTTATATATATCATTAATTTGTGTGTAGTAAATAATTTTTTTTTAATATTAAAAACTGAATTTTGATTATCTAAAAATATTAAAATTTTAATTTCAATAATCAATTTTAATTGCTTAATTATGCATAAGAAACAAACATCAATAGATTTATTATTTATTATTTTATATAATTTGTGAGTAACCAAGAGATATTATAATCGAAAAAATAACATTATCCATAAGTTTTTATATGTGTTCTTATTGATTTGATTATCAACATCACTACCTTTTGGTATATATATGGATGATGCTACGTATTGGACACGTCTTTCATATACGTATAAGCCACACGACTTATTTATTATTTTTTTATTTGGTTTTTTGTCAATATAAGATTAAAAATATTATTTTTTAATAATAATAATAATAATAATAATAATAATAATAATAATAATAATAAGAGGATGGATGGATGGAAACTCTTTATTAGGGTTTGTGTGAAGGATGGGGTTTTGGCCGCTCAATCATGTTGGGCTATGAAAGTGATTCCTTTGCTTCCTCTTTATGCCATTTTCACTCCCAATCACCATCTCTTTCTGCCTTACCTTATTGTTAACACTACCAATAAATTTCTTAATTTTGATGACCAACTTTTCTTTCAATTCATCTTGTCTTCACTTGTGCTGGTAACGGACTTAAATTTTTTTCTAAGAATATTCTTTAATACTTTGTCCATGCATGTAGTTTTAAAAATTTCATTGTCAAATTAAAAGATTATTATATATTTTATTAGATATATTTTTAAAATTTAATAAATTAATATACTAATAAATAAAAAGTATAATTATATTTTAATTTCGATCGTAAAATTTAAAATTTTCACCTATGAACTTAAAACCTCTTATTATAGGATTTGATATATGATTGTATTTTAATTTTGATTGTAAAATTAAATTATATCCAAACATGATAAGATATAGGATTTGATCTTAAAAACTCAAACTTACAAGAGTATGAATGATTGGATAACTCAATCCCTGAAAGCAAATTGGCAAAAAAAGCAATAAAAATGGAAAAGAAGAGTTTTACATTTGGAGATTTCCAATTCGGGCACGCAAAAATGAAATGAATACTAAAGTAATGAAAGGCCCTTTAGTTTTGATTTAAAATCATTTTGTGCATCCCATAATCACTGTTCATGAATAGCACTCATTACATCGTGAGCTATAGCAAAACAGAGGCCTTAAATGAAATCTTCAAACATGGGTCATCAGGGTAGTTGATTCCATATGCCAATCTTGATAGAAAATGGTCGTTTAATTTCATTATGTATGTACACTGTTTATCTGTTTTATGAGTTTGATGAGTAATCAGACACTCGGATTATTTCAGGTTTATAAAGAACTTTGAAGATTGAAGTTCATCTCGAATACCGAAAATGAACCTGGCAAGTTACAGGATGAATGGTGGTGTCCAGCTCTTCTTCCATTGTTATTTGTCACTGTTTGGCTTTCAAGATCTGCCACGTTAAGATGAAGGGATCGATACTTGTTTTTTTTTTTACTAGAATATGGTGTAGCCAAGATGGACACTTTAAATGAATGAGTTATAATAATGTTCACTATTTGATTGAATATGATAATATAGCTTTTAAGTAGTATATTTGATAAGCATTTATTTGGCATGAGCTGAAATATTTTCGTCAAGGAAAGGAGAGAGTCAGAGAGGGGAGCATGTGAACAAAAATGAGGCCTCCCTCTCAATATTCTAACTCCATTTTATTTCATTAATCACCAATTTTTACTGGCAAGGGAAAAACTGGAAACCAATGGACGTGTCTTTTCATGGTGGCGTAGGCGGGTCCCATTGGACACAGTTCCAAAGCTTTTTGCCCTCCTACACTACAAATACCCCCACATTCCTTCCTCTCATTGCCATCAAGCCACACCCATTTAATTACCTTCCTCAAAGCATCTTCTTCATATTCACTCACTAACCAAGCAAAGACCCTCCCCCAGTGGTCTCTTCGGAGGCCCCTGTTGGATGCTGTTGCTTTTCTCTTGAAAGAAAAAGGTAATGACTTCAATTTTCAATTCTAATTTTTCCCTTCATTAATGAATTTCACACCTTATCTATGTGTATTTTGGTACACCACAATCATGCATGTCTCTTAGTAACTTGTTATTTGTTGTATAGCTGTTTTTGTATTTTTTTTAAGACTTTTCTCTCTTTTCACTCCGTGCAGATAAATTTTAGTACAATCTGCCTTCTACTTGGAGATGTCTGCTCCACTGAGCAAGAGCCTCTGCTTGTCTTCAGCTTTGAACATCAATGAAGAGGCCATGGTCACCGAGAAGAAAGGCATAGTATCCATTCTTGGATCCGATACAGAGAGACCAACCGAAGCTGCTTCACTTAGAAGAACTTTGTCAGCTGATATGTCCTCCAATAAATGGCTAACTCAGCATGGATTCTCTCCCCTGAAAAAGATTGCTTCATCCAAGGATTTCCCTGTTTCCACCACTGACTCGTCGTCAGAGGAAGAAGAGGATTATGAAGAAAGGAAGGTGACTGAAGCACGAGGTCAATTCGATATCTGGACTTCAATTCAAGAAGAAAATAAAAAGAAGGAACTTGAAAAGCCTGGCCAGTTCGATATATGGAGTTTAATCATATCACAAAAGGCTCAAGAAGACCCTTCAAAGCCAGTTCCCCCTCCATATATTCACCCTCTTGTGAAAAGATCAGCTAGTTCTTTAAGCGAGAAAAGCCTTCAAATTTGCACTGAGAGCCTTGGTTCGGAAACCGGCTCCGATGGGTTCTCTTCATACCCTCCATCAGAAAGTGGTGACATGGAAGAAGATAAAGAGGAAGATCAAGAACTCCAACAGCAAAAGCAAGAAAGAGTTGCACTGTTGAGTTCTTATGATGTTGACAAACCAAGAACCGTGAAATATAACTATGATGTTGTCAAGAAATCGCCACACAGATCATTTCCTCCACCAATTCCTTACCTTTCTTGCACAGATGGAGCATCTGTTCGCATGAAGACTCATCGTGATAATGGTAGATTGGTTCTTCAAGCTGTTTCAGTGTCTTCACAGAACAACTTTCTTGCTCAACGCCAAGATGGTCGCCTTGTCCTCACTTTTGCCAATACCTGTACTTCTAGTGAAGCAGAGTCCAAGGTTAATGAAGTGATGAATGCTGAAGAAGTAGAGAAAGTGGAAGAGTTAGAAGAAGAGTTTGAAAGCTATGGAGAAGAAGAAAAAGAAAGTGAAATAGATATTGATGAAGAAGAAGAAGACGAGGAGGAAATAGATGAGATTGAGGAAGTAGAAGATAGGTATTCTGAGATGGAGAAGGGTCCTAAACTTTCAAGTGGAGCAATGAATGTGCATAGGTTAGCTCTAATAATGAACAAGCCCATATGGTTAGCAAATAGGAACCCAACATGGCCTAACAATTTTGACGAAATAGTTAAATTTGGAGAGGAAAGGGGGGAGAAGGTTGAGCCAACGAGCCCACCACCACTAGCACAGTCACTACCACCGCGGACGCTGGTGGCTAGGTTGATACCATCACCACCATCAACAGCAGCAGCACCAGCAGCAGCTGGAGCAGCTGCATCATTCAATGCTTATGAGTACTACTGGAAGAGGCCTAATCAACCCATGTCAAAGGCGGCAATTCTTAACCCACTCGCTCTACAGTCACCGCCACTCAAGGACAATAGCAACAAGCAGCTAGTTCTCTCCAAGAATCTAATGGCGAATGATCAGCAACAATTGCTCGTGTTGAGAGGGAACAATGGTGATTACTTTGTTCCTTTGTTAAGAGGCTGCAAGGAATCTAGGAGGTCTCTGCTCTTCTTGGAGCCCTATTGCATTGCCACTTCCTGATGATCAAAATCCACGTCAAAATTTGCCTATAATTATTGTTATTACCCTATCTTTTTTTTCTCTCTCCCCTAGCTAGTTTTTTCACTTCCACTCCTTGAGGGGGTGATTGTGTTATAGTCAAATTATCTAATAAAAAGATCAAGAAAAGGGGGAGAATACTTTTGGAACTTTTAAAAAATGAAGAATGAATGAATGACAAAACAAGACTTAAACAATGCTATAATGATTCTCTTTGCCTACTTGTAGCTAAAACAAAATCTTTAATTGAAGCACATCATCTTTTGACATGGTGGTCTGTCTCTCTGTCTTTGCAATGTGATAGCTTTCTGCTTTTAACTTTTCTTGCTTTTTGCAAAATTCAAAGCCAATGGGGCTTCAGCATGGGTCTATCTCCCTAACCGCTTTTAATTTTGGAAACATAATCAACCACAAATTGACATTTGTATGGCTTGTTCCTTTTTTTTGCAAAGGACTGATGGATATTTCTACTTCAACAAACAACTTCATTTAAAAAAATTGTACATTTCATCATGGATTGTTACATTATTTTTTTATATATATTTGGAATTGTCAATATTTTAATTTAATTATCAAATTTAAAAGCTTAAGGCTCTATAAACACACCATGTGATTGCTATAATATTAGTAGTAATTGCTTTCCATTTTTTCACATGTTTTAATCTGTTTTGCCTGTTGATCATGGGCCTAATTGTGGGCCCCACGTTTTTTTCTGATTTTATTTCTAGAAAATGAAGAATAAATGAAAAAAGAAGACTTAACAATGAAAAATCTTAACATTTTGGATACTATTATTCAAATTTTGTTTTACTTTGAAACTATTAAAATTGGTTTTGGTCTGGAAAAAAAAAGAAATAATTAAAAGTGGAATTGCATTTTTTTTTTTTTTTATTGATGAAGGAATAGCATATTAAATATGTTTAAAAAATATTATAGAATTAATATAAAAATTTTAAAAATATTTTAATATTAAATAAAAATAAATGGATGGGTTGGGCCAGGCCCAAACATAAGATTTTGAAGTGCGACCGGATCCAACAGAGTATGACACCCAACTAGTTTTGGCCCGAACCGATTGATAGAACCAGACAGCCAGCCCGATTCATAGTGCATCTTCTGGTCTATGGGTTCTAGCTCGGCTCAAAAGGCAAAGACAGGCTTGCAAAATAGCCCATCAAAAGGAGAATCAGTGAGCAAAAGAAATCACCGATGGGAGGGAGCCACACCGGCGACGATGAGGATTTGCTTCTCAAAGAATTCTTTGCTGAAGTCAGCGAAGTTGAAAGAGACAATGAAGTCATCAGGTTTTCTCTCGTTTTCTTCTTTCCTTTGGAATATTTATTTACTTTTTCTGATAATTTTTTCGTATGCTTGGGATTTATGGGTTTTTTTAGTGATTTCAATTTGATGGGTCTCAGCTATTAGGGTTTATTCTTTGATATTTGCATCAAATGTGAATGGGGAAAAGTTTCAATTTTTAATATTTTTTAATTTCTAAAGTTGCTTTCTTCCTGTAAAATTTGAGCTCGACTAGCATGCTCTATGAATTGGATGAATTGGGTAAATTTTGAATTTGATATTTATAGTTAAAACAATATGCTTATTAATGAAATGTTTGTGCAAAATATGTAGCTCGATTCTTCCATTTAATTTTAAGGGTGTTCTTTGTATTTGATGCTGTTTATGAATTATAAGATTACACTGTTTTTAATTAGATATTGATATAGATGAACGTTTTCAAGATCATTGTCAAATGTCAAGTAAGTACTATTAAAGTTGTTAAAAGCCCTAAATACACTATTCAGTGGTAGAGTGTATTGATGCCTTCAATGTAAGTCTAACGGGTCTTCTATTAGCCTAAGCATAATAGCATTAGAAGTTTAAGGGCATTTGGCTGATCTTGATTCTTACTTACAGTGCAAGGAATAGACTTCTGTCTATGCAACATGAAAGTAGGGAACTTAAATATGCATTTAGTGGTTTAGTACTATAGTTCATGAGAAACATTAGTTTTCTTCTAATCACCATGTGCCTTTGTTGGGAGAACCAGAGATGTAAAGGGTATATTATTCTCTTTCCTTTCGTATAGGTATTAATGTTGGATATGTCCCTACCCAGATGCTTTCAGTTTTGCCAAAGCTTTTTGCTCTGTTTGGAAGGTTATTTCCCATATCCAGACCCAGGTTGAGGTGTCAGATATGTGGCCAAAATGGGTGATTCGGGGGGGAAAAAAAAAAAAAGAAGAGAGTTGCAGCTATATGGCTGCTCCCTCACCCTTCTCCTCGTTCTCAATTAGTAACCTTTTATTTAGCTGTTGCTACTATTAAAGGGACTGATTTGATCGTGGAGGCAATAAATGGCTGGACTGCTTTTAATACTGTACTAACTTCATCTATTATGCATGTATGGTTGCTTTATGTTCATCGTTTCACTCAATTATAGAATTTGGGCAATTTTATATTTAGATTAGTAATTTACATTTTTACTTCATGACCTTTATTCTATGACAATCTTTAAGGGCCCATTTTATTTCAAACAACTATCTTAATCCACGAGAGAACTTTACTCCTTTAGATCATTGTTCCAATACCCAGGCGATATGAGCCTACATGAGGAAACTACCTGACCATCACTTATTGATGATCTTTTTTCCTAATATTAATGATGCTTTACCTTTTGTTGTATTTTTTCTCTCTCTCTTATCTTTGCTTCTATCAAGCAGTAACAACTTTGAATGTTGATGATCTCCTTTCTTATATTATCTCTTAATTAACTTTTGGCCCATTTAAACTCTTTCTAAAAATTGTAGGATTCTTTCATGCTTCAAGTTAAATCCATTTGAGTTTCTTAAGCTGTCATTTAATTCATCTCCAGAAGATGTCAAAAAACAATATTGTAAGGTATTCTCGTTTTTCCATGACCATTTCCTCAGCCATTGATTATTTTATAACTCTGTCATTAAAATAAAATTCAACATCCTGATATTCAGCATTACAGATTCTTGATGGAGATATTTATTCCAACATTAAGGGCTTATCTGATTACATATCTATGGTTTTCTAACTGTATCCATTCTTGAATGTTTACTCCCTACTTGAAGACCATGAGAACCTGTTAAGAGAATAAGCATCAAATGTGCATGTCAATCTTGATAAATTCTGAATTTAGTTGAGTTATTTTCTAGCATCATTGACTTGAGCTAGGCATTTGTTTTTATGTTGGTTGTTCAAAACAATATGAAATTTAGAGCATTGAAAGATGATTATGATTCAGGTTAAAAAAAAATAGAAGACAATTATGATATGTTGATGGTGAATACAAAAAAGAGCAAAACAAAACCAGACAAAGGGTCAAGGAGATTCAGAATTATGCTCTCTATTTTAGCTCTAATAGTCCTAATTTCCATGTAATTTGCCCCTATACAACTGTCCTTTGCAAAAAATTTGACACCATTTTGGCTGTAATAACACCAGATGTTAGTATTTAATAGAGAAAAATCAAGGAATAATCTCACAAGAATCACACAGATTATGTTGTCTTGGGTTTTACTCGAACCCTAGAATCACAAATTGAGAGTTGCAGTAAGATTAACTATGGCTTTGTGCCACTACTTTAACATAAGATGTGAGAATGTTGCATCTTGCATTTTCAAAGATGTATACTTCATATTCTGTTAATCTGTGGTATGAATGAAGAATATTAAAGATAGTTTGTATTTGTCATTCACTGTGGTGCATTTATATTTATTTTAGAAATATTAAAATGTTTATATTAGATTGTCTTAACTTCACTGAGTTTTTGGTTTGTAAGCAGCATTAGCAAAAGCCCAACAACAATTGCTTGATCAACAGGAAAGGGATTATATTCTTAGCCAAGTTACTGCAGCAAAAGGTAGTGCTTAAATTTTAATAACTTTCTGAGGAGGCCTTATCTATTCACATAGCATTGTTACTTGTCACTTAAAACTTTTTTGAGAATCAGAAAGATTTGTTTGGAATCTTATTGCCACTGCCTTACTTGAAGCAGAATCTTAATGGTAGATTGAATTTTTTTTTTTTTGTTGGTTAGCTTTTTGTTTTATGTTATATGCAGTTAGTTTGATAAATAACTGGTAAACTTGTTCAATATACAAGCCAGAATGATTATCATTGGGAATAACTATCCTAGCATGAATCTGTTGCATTTGGTCTTTTGAATTGAGTTTTTTTTTCTCTTTCTCCTTTTTCTGTGATAAATGAATAAACAAAACAAAAGCATGACCTTTGGTAAGTGAAATAAGTTCTCACATTTCATCTTATGCAATGTGCAGAAGAACTTAGAGCAAAGAGGAAGAAGCAGTTAAAGAAAGACACAGCTTCAAAGTTAAAGTTATTAGTTGATGAGGTAAGTCCTTAATATATTTTCATTACATGCTTGTCATATTGATCAATTGGGTGTAATTAGAGTTTTAGTTTTTCATTTTTTTGGGGAAGTAATGGATGGCATGCTGAGTTATCTTTCAATATGCAATCTTGATTGACCATAAGTTTTTTAGTGTGAAGAAATAACTGCTTTGATGAATGTTATTGTTGGCTTTTCTATGTCTTGAGTCTGATGTTGCCCCTTCTATGGAAGTAAATATTTATTGCCGACCTTCTTCTAGACTTTTATGCCAAGAGACTAAGCAAGTTCGTTTATATCCAGGGAAAATCTGAGCAAGAATATGAACAATCAGAGGAGTTCCAGCAGGAGTTGAAGTTGAAGGTTCGAGAATTATTAACAGAGCAGGAATGGTGGCAGAGAAAAATGGCAATGAGGGTATGCTGGATGCTGTTAATATCCTTGCTCTCTATAGCTGTTCTTGTTTAAGGCTTCCTACCATAAGCTAATCACCCCTTCTATCTCATCTAGATATCTGAAGAGGAAGATCGCCTAAAGAAGGATGAAGAAGAGCAAAAGGAGATATGGAAAAGGAAGCGTGAACATGAGGAGCAGTGGGAAGGAACAAGGGAAACGGCGAGTATGTATTCTCTTTTTTTATTTTGCTCATCAGGTTTCAAGTTGGAGGGATTTTATGAAGTCAGGGAAAAAGGTAAATGTTAAGACTGATGGGTCAAGTTGTCTTTTCGTTTTTGGATGAGCAACAATCGAGTCATGAACGAGTCATATTCATTTACGAAAGCAAATGAGATTTCTTAAAGACTGATGGTTTCTTTGCAGTCTAAGAAAGGAGAACTTCGTCCCTCCAAACTGAAGACAGAGGATCCCAACAAATCGTATGTTCAAAGGCCCGTAAAGCGAGGTTAATTGGTGTGATGGGGGGTTTTGACAGCTAGTTCAACTAACTGTTCCTGCAGTGAATGAAGTTTGTAAGAACCCATTTCTCTGAAAAGGCTTATCATCAAGGTATTATTGTAGAAGAGAAAGGAAATTACTTTGCAGATTAAAAGCTATTTTTTTTCTCCTCCCCATTTTCACCTTCACAAACAAACAATCCTCTATTTAGCCTATCCTGTGTGCTTATTAGATCAGAAGACTGTCATCTAGGGGCTCGACAGTTATTTCTTGTTATTGACAGCTTTGCCTTGATCATACAGTCAGCCCAAATCAGATCAGAAGACGTAAACAATGTAACACCAAATCTTGTCCTTGTGTGATTGTTGATTGCAGAAACGAAAGAAGCGACAAATTCATGACCAAAATTCTAAAATTTTCATGTTGGAACAAAAGTTATTTTCACACAAACATTACATTGTACAGAGCATAAATAAGAATTACGCCAATCAACACCTCTATGATACAACGGGACGCCCATGAAGATTTTTAATGTTATATCTCTCATCATCATATATAACGACCTCAAAGAGGGTAAAAAATATTAGACCTAAAACGAGAATTAAAAAATTATACGAACTGAATGTGAAAAATGCTCAACACTACCAACCCGTCATTTGAAGATACCAACCAACCGCCTCCTACGAGCCAGTGGCTCAATTTACAGGGGGAGAAGCCCAAATTGGAACTTTCAGCAGATAACCAGAAGCAAAGCTATGCCACATGCAATTTCATTCCCGAACTTGCATCTTTCATAATCTCAGGGCCTACCGTGTGCTGCAAACCGGCGAAAAACCAAAATGCCGTGAAGCCTTCAAACTTTTAATGAGAGAGATTACAAAGATTGGAAATGCCTGTATATGGCATCATGTTCTATACAGAATACCAGAATCTCCAGGTGGTAGCATAAGCCCGAATGAGTAATGAGTATATAGAAACAATTGGCAGGATTTACTATATCCATGCGAGAGAGCCTCGATCATTTGCTACTTGAGGACGACCTCGAGTAGGTGTTGGTGGTCTGTTAGCATTCAGCTCCTAACCCCATAAATGCAAAAGATTAACATGAGTATTAAAAACATCGCATGTAGTACCAGTAAAAGCATACAGAAATAACAAAAGTATAATTACTCTAACAAAGAGAATAGGGAAGCACCTGCATCCATGTATCTTCTATACGTTCTGGTGATGCTTCTGGAGATGACATTGCTGGGGGTAAAGGATGAATGAGTTTCGGAACTACCACAAGATCTCTGCCCAAGACTAAGATTGCACCAGCATTATTAGCAGTACCTGAAAAACAAGCATGAAGCAAAATTCAAAGGCTAAATCATCTGCAGATCTGACAGACGGTCAGTATATTAAAGCGCGGATCAGGGATGCACCACAATAATTGGTGGCCGAGAAAAGAGTGATTAAATGTCCCTGGGCAAAGCGCTCAAAGCCATCCATAACACACTCATGAGCACGAACGATCAACTGAAGATCGTTGTTGTTGCAGAATTCCATAACGCGATCAGGCTGCAACATGGAAAACCATTTACATAAGCATAACATGCAAAATCAGCATTTTAGTAATCAACAAAGACGTGTTTTACTCAGAAATAGAGCTGCACAACCAAGGGGAAAGGTACACAGAAGCAATTTAAACAAGTATCTTAAGTCAAACTTTTAACATTCAACAGAATGTTAAAGAGAGAATCATTCACTCAGAGAGCGAGAGAGAGACAGTTTCATGGATGCAATATGGAGATCAACCAGCCAGTCAGCAAGCCATAATTTGCAGTCAAATTGCCCATGTAAATACTTCCTCAAATGTTGAAATCAATGCAACATGAAGCGACAAAAGACTTTAAATGTTGTGGTTTAAAAGTTTTCAAGTAGCACACTCACCCCAAAAGTAACCAACCCTGGACCTCTAGCATTTGGTCGCAACCCTTCCACACTATCATTTTCCGTTGGATCAGACCTAGAGTAGAAAATGCACAATTAAAGCAGTACATACTAAATTTCATGACCGATATAAAATGGTAACCAAACAAGATAGTAACACACTCTGACCATAATAAATCCATAAGAACAATCGAGCCTGCTTCCATTGTAATTGGACGCTGTAGATTCTCAATCTGTTCAACATGATTTATTGACCGACCAATGCCACCATGCATACAAATGATTTTCTTTTCAATTAGAGCTGCCAGAGGAAGCCAATTGAATAAACGGTTTATACGATGCCATGTCCATATTCCATCTCTCTCACCCTGTTACACAAGCTATCATATTTGTGACTAAAATGTTATACAAAGCAGGCACAAACCATATTCTAACAGATTATACAATACCATGCGCTCAATACACTCAATCCGGAAGCCAAAAAGAGCATTGATATCTGCAGCCTCATGATTCCCCCGAATTAAATGCACATTATTGGGATACTCAATCTGCAATGTTAACAGAATTATATGAAAATCTTGGCACGTTATAACTTGCATAGGAAGTAAAACTGACTGAGAAGATTAGTGAAGCACCAAAATTATACTTTTACCTTCAAAGCAAGCAGAAGAGTAATGGTCTCCAAGCTGTGTTGGCCCCGATCCACATAATCTCCTAAGAAGAGATAATCGATATATCTAATAGTAATTTATACAAAATCAGTATCAATTAAATAAAATGTCAAGATTAAACTTGAATGAGATGCAAAACAACTCATGTAGATTACAAGCAAGAAGACAACAGTCTTTATGGATATTAAAAAGTGTCAGTTGAAACCCTTAGCCATGATGACAAATAGCCAGTAAAGAGCCTTCCTGAAACAAGATTTTTTTACCAGAACACTTACGCAATGTCCCCAGCAGTTGATGGTGCACCATATTCATCAAAAAGGCGCATGAGATCCCCAAATTGTCCATGTAGATCACCAAAAATCTTAATAGGAGCCTTCAGCTGTAAAACAGTTGGTTCAACTGCAAATATTCGTTCAGCACTTTCACAAAGATCAGCTATTTCATTGCAATCTAAGGAAAACTGTCGGCGAACTGGAGGTTTCCAACCACGAGGCTTCAAAAGATGTGCAATGACCTGGCAAGGTGACATATAGACACTCCATTATAATTTAACAAATGAATATTTTCAAGATTCAAGAGGAAAGCATTTTGAAAAATAAAAAAGCATCATTAGTGCAAGACTAATTGAATTCTTAAGAGAAACTTCTATCAGCTATAAAGTTCATCACTATCCCGCTGACTAATTGAAAAACAAATCTGAGGTTCAATGCAAAAGAATTATTACAACTACGTTATTAAACTGGCATATTCAAGAAATAAACGTGGATTTCTATGTCCAGTAATCCAATAGAGCGAGAGAAATTTCAAGGATGAATTCTCTCCAAGCAACAGAGAACTAATAACAAAAAAATTTATCAGAAAATCAATGATTAACTTTTTTTTTTTTTTTGTTTAATGCTGGTGTGAATGGCTAAACACTACAAAGAAATGACAAAATTTTATAATGCATTAAGAGCATGGTAAGCAAATCTGGCCTTCTCATAATCACAAACAAAACAATATTTGGCTTTTCAAGCTTTTTTTTCCTCACCTTTTCCTTCTATATCCTGAATTTAAGCTATGGTTAATTAAGAAGCTTAAGGTAATTTCTTTAACTGCCTTGAGATATGTAGCTTGTGCTAGTAAATCTAGATAAATTGTAACTCTACACTTTCCAAGTTGCATCAAGGGAAATAGTGGCCTCAGAAACAATACAGAATATATATGAGGATAATAAAAGTGTGCCCAATAGGATAAAAAGAAGGGAGAATCATGTCATCTTCACTTGAGAGTTCAAAAATAAATACTCTGATCCTAAATGTAAGGAGTACAATATCTATAAAATAAATATAAAAAAAGATTCATCTAAATTCATATAATCTCAAAGACTCAAAACGAAAATCAATCTCACTGCAAGAAAGATAAATACTACGACAATCTCCTGCTCCACAAAGCAAACCATTCAAATAGAAAGAAATTACCCTCAAGTGTTACTATTTGTGTTTTAGGGCATCACCCAGGCAGATCCTGCTCTTACTATTCAACTCTTCCTTTTTCACCGGGAAACACATTCACCAATTACCCCAAAAAACACACAGGAACTGCTTTAAGATGCAAAAGATAAGGCCACTAATACCTTTTTGGAGACACTATTGATTGACATCTGCCTATCTAATAGTTTCCTTGCTGCAGTTGCACTCTCTGGAGTCCCATAGCTAACCCGCCTGCCTTCGTTTTCAAATTGGTCAATAGAAAGCTGTCTGACCATTCCACCTAAAGCTCCACCAGTCTCTGCAGCTACAACAACCTGTTGGTATAAAGGAAACAACATTAGAAACGAAGTCATAGGTCACAACAATGCCAATATTGACTTAAGACTGGCAACATGTAGATCAAATTGTCTGATACTGACAGCTCTATGATGAAGCCGAACTCCAGCTGGAGCCATATTATTTGACCCAGTAGAATCAGGCATCTTAATCAAGGTAGACAACTGTTTTCCACTAGGTGTAGCCTCTGCCCCACGATCCCTATCAGGAAGTTCAACTTCTCCATTGACTTGTCGTGCCTTTGCAGCAGCCAGTGTGGCACAAATAGCCTCAGCTTCAGCAGCTGATGCTTCAACCAAATACTCAACACCTTTGCTCATTCTCCTGCAAGATAAACCACATTTTAACAGCTCCTTGGATTAATTGAGCAAGCTTAACCATTCAATAGTCATTTAACACAACAAAAATACAGTGGTAGCTTACCGGGATCCTTGAAGCATGGCATTCTCAGTGCTTATGTCAGTATACATATCCCCATTTACAGGGGGAGCAACTGGATTTCCCAGCACAACTGCTCCATCAGGAACTGCTTCAGGCATTGTTTGCCTTGGTCTATCATCAACAAATCCATAACTTCCAGGTACCCGCCCTGCATGCACATTAGAAGCAGCTGCTGCAGCTGCAGCTGCAGCATGTGAAGCTGCCACTGTTGTCTCCGCTGCAGCCAGGTCTTCAGCGACAAGCAGGTCATCAAGCAACACCCCTAGAGCATAAATACAACATATTACTGCACTACTAAAATTATGAAATGCCAATTCTCATATGGATTAGCACTTAACACCAAGATTAGCAGCAGTTTGAACTCCATGACACATGAAAAGAGCTTAAAAATTTCATGAAAATGGAGGTCTTAAAGAAATAAACTTCTATAGTTCTCAACCCACAAGATGAATTAAAACTTTTGTAGCCTCTCTCACAACTAATAGTTAAATATGAGAAAAGAGAAGATGCATTTTCAGTTAGGATAATGCAAATAGAACAAAGACGAAATTCAGGTTTCACCAATTTTAAATATCCAAATTTTGATCTCATGAAGTGGGGAAGAATCAAGGCTTCCATAATTATCCCCTAGATCAATCTTTGGTCCGTACCACCAGCTTCCAAGTTTATACAAATTCTGCAATGTCCTTGTGTGCTACTTAAATGTTCAACAATAAGGCAAAGGATTAAACTTTGACATTTCATACTAGCCTATTTAAAACCATATTTTTATCCTAAGATGATTTGCTTAATCCATCCCACCAAACCTATCCATATCACAATCAACGTTTCTCTTCCCAATCAATGCCTTCATCTCCTACATGCTATCATCAATCATTGCACAAATATGAAAGATATTTATGCTGGAACTATCATTAGGCTTCCACAAAAATAGTATGTTGCTTCTACCTCAAGCATAAGCCATCAGCCAGAAAGATTTCACTAACTAAAAAACTAAAAGGACGAGAACTAGGAAGATCATTTGATAAAACCAATGAAGTGAGCCATACTAAAGAACTTGATGTGAATCCTACAATACATCAATTAAGTATGAGACATACAAATAGTAATTGGACAAAAAGATTAAATTTGCCAACAGCCGTGTGATCTGTTGGTAGAGCACTGGACTTTCAGTTCTAGTGACCAGGGTTCAATCCCGGCAGTCTTGAATACCAAAAAAAAAGAAATTAAAGATTAAATTATGTATAAGGAAAAACATCTTTATTGCTCAAAATAGAAACATCAACAAGCCTTCGAGTGACTTTTCATTCAAGATTAATCATTGAATACAGTTCTAAAGCAAAACTCTAATTATGTATTACACTTTATGATGGCCTAATTGATAACTGACAAGTCCATGCTGGGGCTAGAAAAAAATGGGGTACACATTGTAGAATAAAAGACTATAATATTGTAGAATAAAAGACTATCTTACCACCACGTAAACCACCATAAATAAAAATTAAGTCACCAACAGCTGCAGCTGCATGTCTACAACGCCTTGTCAGCTCAACTGAAGCATCTCCACCAGCAGCATCAGCACTGTATCTGCCTGTCCTTGGACTAGTAACAACAGATTTTGTATCACACCAAACTCCCGCAGCAGTATCCAACACTATCAACAAGGAGAATAAATTAGGAACCTGTAGATTTCTACCTTTGACAATAAATGGCTAAATGCTTGATGTATTGTTACACATCCCTATGTTAATAAATTAAGACACAGAAATATTTCCTAATTTTTGACACAAATTTAACAAATTCCCACCTTTATAGTGCCTGAGTTTAAGCAACAAAACCTTCAAGCAAAAATTAAGTCTTGCTACTTTCTGATAAAAAGTTATTCAGATATCAAACAGCAATGATAATTTTGGTTTGTTAGTTACAAGATGGAAGATGTTAAAGAACTCAGATATAACTTCTCATATAAGGTGGAAGAGAGAGAGAGAGGCAGGAAAACTCCCAAGTTACAAGATTGGAGAATAATGAGATCGGAGAAAGAGTGGACTTTTCGGAGAAAGAGTGGACTTTTAAGAGCTAAGACTAGTTGTTCCCTGCTTTCTACACTATCATTGCATCCATCTTCCTGCAGGAGCAACCTACATTTCGGGAAACTCAAAATAGATTTGACTGGAAAAACTGCTTTAAACCTTAATGTTTTACAAACCCACATTTGATGTATACAAGTAAAACCACCAACACAGCACACCATGTAATAAAGAAGTCAAGACACTGAAAACCAAGATCAAGTACCTGCAACACTTGAGGAGTCTTCAACCATGCGGCCACCACCAAGTGCCCCACCAGAAACATGAAGCCTTGCATTGACAAAGACCTAGAAACATATCACGTGCATGTGATTTATCCAAGTAAAAGAAGTTGTAGATTGAACTAAATTATTGAAAAATGCAGTGGGGGGAGGGGGGAGAGAGAAAAACTCACTGCTGCATGTTGATATCTTGGAGATGGTGAAACACCTGGAGCAATTGCCCATTCCCAACGACCATCCTTGTGTTTTGCAAGCCCGTATGCACTTGGCAATGGCTGAGAAAACAATCACAGAGAGAAGAAACCATGAAGAGAGAACAGGTTGAGCAAATCTAATTATACAAAGGGATGTAAGCATCTCAAAAGGACAAAATTGTGACACCATTTACATGCATCTCAGCTCAATCTTTTAAAATATCTTCAATTATATTATTTTCACATTCCTCAGAATTCATTAGAATTCTATTATTAATTAGAATGCCTCTGTCCCCATCTACACAGATAAAATGTATGCTCAGATCAGTTCCAACATTTATTCAGATGTATTTAAACTTTATCCCAACTGAACAAGGAAAACCTGCCCTAAAGCAATAACAAAAGACAAGATAATACTATAGGTTATGAAATCTTATGTCATATTGTCCAGAAAACAAAATAAAAGAAGTATTATTCCATGCATTTAATAAGTCTAGACACCGTATAAGGTGGACCTCTCAACTCACCACACTGTTTGCATCCCTCCCTCCACAAAGCAGAAGAAGACCATCTGAGCGAGCACTTGCAGTAGCATACCTAGTCAAACAGAAATTGTCAACAAGAAATTAAATCATCAAATTAATAATAATTAAACAACAATAATCATATAGGACACAAGATTGACACCATTTCCAAGAGCATAAGCAAGACTGTGAGCTTTAACATACAAAGTTTTGAAAAAACTCTAAAAATAAAGTAAGCCATGAATGAAGAAGTATGTATAGATACAGTGTTAGTCATCATGTCCAAACACAGCAGGGTGAAAGACAGGCATAGAAATAAATATGGTATCACAAAAGCCTGCAGTCACTTTTGTTCATATGTTGCATATTGCTCCTGCTAAGAGATTCAAAAATATAAAAATAGAACAGACAATTAATAGAAGATTGATGTTAGCGCAAGAACACAAGTCAGTTGTGTGTGTGAGAGAGAGAGATAAAGAGTGAGAGATTACATGCATGGAGGTGGACCTTCCCCTTCAGGTTCCAATTTACGCCATTCATAAGGCTTGGCAGCGGTATCCAGGGCCCATACATCAGCCAAAGGTCGCTTTCCTAGAAATGATGCACCAAATTTTTCAACAAAGAATTCATTAGAATATCTCAACATAAATGTAACTAAAAAGGAAAAAGAAATTTTCATTAATATCTTAAAAGAATGCATGCAAGAAAACAGAATAACAGATTACTTACCATCATTTCCACCAATTGCCATGAGATACCTTTGCCCCACCAAAGCCATCACATGTCCATAGCGTGGCCCTGGCCCAGGGCCTTGAACAACAACCCTGAAGTACAATTAAAAGTCATATAAATAGACCAATCTTAACACTATAAATAAGGTGCAAGCACATGATTCCTTCAAGACAGACCTATGCCACCGTGGTCGTTGCTGTGTGAGGTCAAGCACATGAAGATCCTCAGAAGACAAACCAGCCGGACCAATTCCACCCTAATTTAAAATAAAAGCTTCCAGTGAGGAATTACTTATTCCAGATGGAAGAAGTTCAAGCAAACAATGACATGGTATAAAAAAAAAAAAGATACACTAAATATACTGCAGTGTGTACTGACCTGGATAACAACCATAGTTCCCACAGCAGTTGCCACATGAGCTGCCCTTGGTGTAGGTGGCTCTCCAAAGGGTGTGATCCTATGAAATTAATTACACGATAAGCCAAGAAGAATTTAGGAAAGTAAAACAGCAGTAAAGAAACCTTAGTCCTAGGCTTACCTAGACCATTTATTAGTTAACACATCATAACAGTGCACATCAGCAGTGGCACCTGCTAGTCCTGCAATTTAATTGAAACAAAAATAAGTTTAAAGCATGAACATCATCCAACAACAAAGAGAAAATTTCTTATGAATTAAGTTGTTTAAATGGGGAAAGGGGGCAATAACGAGCAGCCTTGACATGCCATATGTTACCTATTTGTAGAGGGCCCTGAATTAATATCAAGCCAAACCAGGTCGTAGTCATTCATTATTACTTGAAACTGATCAAACATCACTAAGTTTTACACCATATACCAAAAAAAAAAAAAAAGAAGGGAGAACATGAAACCTGATGCAATTGAACTCCACAACATGAAAAGTGCTACCGTAGCAAATGCCACTAGATTATGAGTATTTTAAAATAATAGAGAGGCTACGAGCATGAATTACAACAGCAGGAAATAGGCATATTGTTTTCTGAATCAAAGCACATTTTATCTGCCATTTAGGCAAAACCAGGATATTTAAACTGTAAGCTGAAAATAGTCATATGGCTAGTTTCAATTTGACTTTGAAGCTAGGTAAGATTTTTTTGAAAGAAAAAAGAAATCAGAGTCCAAATTAGCACTAGAAAATATCTTGAAAGGAGAAAATTTGCCATTGTATTAACTGTGGTTCCATCTCTACCAACAAAACTTTCCCTAGAGAGATTGGAGCAGAAAGCAGTTTTGGGTGGAAGGAAGCAGGGAGTTTAGGGGTTCTGAACTCCAAAATTAACAACTGAATTCAGTAGCACAATATTAAACACCAAAACATCAATTTCACAAAAGATTAAAAAAGGCAGGGGATTATACTTCGCTTCTAGTCTTCTACACTCTGTAGGACAAAATAAAATTCATTTTGAATTGCAAAAAACCCAGGGAATGTGAAGTTCATATGCTACCTCCAAAATTCCAAGCTACAGCAACAATAAAATTCATTTAACTTGGGATTCAACAAAGTAGGACCTAAAAGACAATTATATTACTCCATCTTTTGTTCTGTAAAAAATCAGCCTTCTACTTTCTTTGTCGCCTCCTTACCTCATTAGAGTTTTTCTATTTTTTTTTTTTTAGAAATAACCCCTTTACTCTTTAAAGTAGGTGTTTCCTCACCAATCCAATAAAAAAATAAGACAGTTACATACCTTAATGCAAACACAACAACAATGAAATTAGTTTGGTCTTCATTAAGCTAGGGTTTCTCACCCAATATAAACCTTTGAATCAACATCTATTGCCAAATTTCTTTGCATCTTAAATCACTTAAACCACAATCAATGTTAAGACTTTCTTACAAAATGAAAGGAAATAAATATAACTTACTGATGCCAGAGCTTCCTGCCGACGATGGCGTCCCAGAAGCAGCAGAATTCCCTTCTAGTGCCGTGGCACCACCGAATAGAATCAACCTTGGCCCAATATACCCAGGCGTCCCCTCTTCCCCTACTGCTGCCACAGCCGTTAGGGTATGCCCACACCTAGGACCGGGCCCGTCTTCTTTCTTCTCTATAATCTCATTCACTACCGAATAAGAGGGCGCACACCTCGGCCCCACCACAGGCATTTGCGGCTGTCCTTGAGCAACAGGTGCGGCCGCTGCAGCCTGTTGTAGCGTCGGAGGAGGTGAAGATCCACCAGACACTGGTGGCGAAGCCTGGTTCTCTGGTTGCTGGTTCTGTTGCTGTTGTTGCTGTTGCTCTCTCTCCATGGGCGCCAAAGATTGCGAAGCTCCGCTGTGATTCTGATCGTGATCGGTCTTTGGCACCATCGACGAATCAACATCCATTTCCTTAGAGTTCCCAAATTAAGCCCTAGGTTCCAAAAATCGTAAAAAAAATGTGTTTCCTTTAACGCTAGTGCTCCTTCATTGACTGTGTAAGCTTGAGCTTTGACTTTTAGTGCTTACCTATTTACAGCGCCTTAATAGAAGAATGCCAATGAAGAAGGATTCGAAAGACATGTAATTGTAAGCCGATGAAGAGAAAGCGCTATTTCTTTGCCAATGGCTTTCAATCGCGAAACAAGTCACCCACGCGGGTAAGACCACCACCGGCTCCCTCGAACGATGAAGGGTCTTCCCCAGAAGGATAGATTAGTACTGGAAGGTGAAGATGAAGGAAGAGCTGAAACACAATCAAAAATAAAAAACCCTTAATTGGGGAAATCAAGATCGGCCACCTAAAATTAAAGCAAATTCGCATCTCCCATCAACATTTTCGAAAACCATAGCTCAGATCGTGAATTAACCACATCGTAACAAAATTCAACAATACTCTACTTTCCAGGAAAGACAGAAAAAATTGGAAAATTTTTCCTTTTTTGGTTTCAAAGCTTTTTTTTCTTTTATCTCTCTACAAATCTCGAAGCCGTCGAGGAATCAGAAAGAAAAATAACGGAACGGAGAGAATCTCAAAACCTTTTTACAACAATAAGAGAAAAAGAAAACAAAAAAAAAAAATCTTTCTCACTTTCTCACTCTAGAAATGTGTTATGTTATGTAAGCCTTTCTCTCTGTATATTTTCGTAAAATGAAAATTGATTTTTTTATTCCATCAAAAAATAGATTTTTTATTTTGACCGGAGCATCCGGTGAAGGGATGTACGGATGGAAGGAGTCGGCGCTGTCTTGCAGAGGGAAATGACGTCGGAGAATGGGGACGGATAGCCGGAATAACCCGGAATGGGGTTAAAACATGAGCGGTGATTACCGGTTCCTATTTGGACGGAGTTTTGCCCTTTTACCACCTATTAAGGAGGAATTAAAAATTCACGCGCATTGTTACGCCCTGTTTATTACGCGCCATGGTAAAAGAGGAGTATTTATTATTTGAAGTTGTTTGAATTTTGTTAGATCCTTAAAGCCTTGATTTTTTAAACAAGATTTATTATAAGCAATAAATAACACTGATTTAATTTTATTATCGAAAGTACTAGCCTTACGTGGGAGATGATAATTTTAAATAGATAATAATATAAAATATAATACGATGATGGTATGATTTAAATATGAAATAAATTTTAATAATTATTATATATAAATTTTAATAAAATTAAATATATATTTTATATTTTTATGTAAATATAAATTGTAATATATAATTTTTATGTAAAATATTATATGAGTATATGAATTTTAATATTTTATATTATATGAATATATAACTTATTAAATTTAATTTTAAATAGGATATATAATATAATATGAAAATGATTTATAAAAAATATAAAAAAAATACGATTTAAAATTTTAGTAAAAATAATTTATAATTTTTTAAAAATTAAAAATATATTTTATATTTAGTATATTTACATGAATTATGATATGATAATTTTTATATTTGACACTAAATAAATATAATATTTTTTAAAAATATAAATTTTTTATTTTTTTTTGCAATAAGTAAATATATATTTTTTACAAAAAGATAAGAAAGAAATTACATATGCTGAATTTAAATTTTATACCTAATGAATTATATATGTGTTGATTAAAAAAATATATAAATTATCTAAAAATAAAATTTGTAAAGTGATTGTAGAAATTTTAAATAGAAGAAATTACTAAAGTTTTAATTAAAACTTAGTTTGATTAATAAAATAATTATTAGTTTTATAAGTGAGATGGTTATTCAAGAGGGAGGTGAATTAGATTTCTCCAAATTTTTTTCAAACAAATTATTTCAATATAATTGAATGAAAATTAAAACAATAAATACTTGTGATAAAAATATAATACAAACAATAACAATTAATGAACCTAAAATTAAATATAAACAACAATAAATTGTAAGAAGATAGGAATAGAGAAATCAAATACAATGACTTATAGAGGTTCGATCATTTTTCACAAGGCACTTACATCATTTCTCTTGGTTGTCCACACCAAGGCATCAATCCACTAATTGAAAAAAAATTCTTACAAGATACAAACATATATTGTACTAAACCTTTATATTTTTCTTAAGGCTTAGATAGTAACCTCTACCTTTACAATATCAAGAGGATATCTCACCTCTTATTCTCTTCCATCCTTATTTATCAAAGGTAATTTTGCAAACAATAGAACAACCTCTCTCAGGTTAAGTGTTTGCTAAGTTTAAGTACAAGAAAATGATGAATGAATAATAAATATAATTTGGATACAATAAATACAAATATATAGACTTTAAAGCTCTAAAAACTCTTGATTCTTTAAGAGAATGAAAATATGGCTTGTTGGCTATTGCTCTCTTGATTCATCAATCTTTTTGGTATGTTGGAGTGCCTAATTTATAGAAAAATTGAAGAAGTAGTCATTAGGAAAGTTTGGAAAGTGAAAGTAGTTGTTGAATGTATGAAAAAATAACCGTTGGTGTGATTTTACCCAGACCTAATCAATCATTTCCTTGAAGGGATCGATTGGTTCAAGTTTTATGCCATTTCATACTTTAAAAACACGACCCAATCGATCCATTCCATGAGGGGATCGATCCTGTTAATGGCTAGTTGATTGTCTTATGTTTTTTATTTTACTCACTAATTTAATCATATCTTGAGTCATATAAATCTAAAGTATAGACCGTTTAAAGATTTAGAAACTAGACTTAAAGGGTTTTCTATCCATATAAAATTTATCACCTAATTTAGTGAGTACGAATTATAGTGAATTTTCAAAGTTACCCCTTGTGCAATTTTTCTAACAACTATAGAGTCTCTAGTAAAAATTCAAATCTTTTCTTAGAAAATTTGAACTTTGATTTTGTTTGATCCATTAAAAAGTAGACTCAAAGGGCTTTCCAACCATATAAAATTCAAATATTAAAACTTTGTGAATTAATACAAAAAAATAAAATAAGTTCAATGTTGAAAAACTTTATTCTTGTAAAACAGTTTTCTTAAGCTAATCTTTTTCTTAAAACCAATATTATCAAAATTGTATTAAGTTCAAAATAAATAAATTCACTTTAAAAACAACAATTGGACTTTTATGTAAGCTTAAATAAATAATCTTTAAAGATAGTTTTGGTTTGAGAAATATGAAACCAAGAAATATTTGTTTAAACTTTGAAAATCATATTATTTATTTAGTATCAAAATATAAAATTAAGAACATGTACTAAATAAATCATTTTCAAAATTTTGATCAAGTTTATTTATCTTTAATGTTTTGTCATTTCAAAATAAGGATCAATTCAAGGTTAACTACCTATTTTTAGGATCAAGCGCTTACCACTATACCAAAAGCTATAGCTGATAATGAAGGCTCAACTCTATTTTTTTATTCTCTTTTGGTAGTGCAGAGCCCCGTACTAAATTACAGGTGGACATAAGGGACTTCACAAAGCCTTCATGGGATACCTTACCCATTGGGCCTCAACAAGTTGGATTGTTATACATCGAAATTTAATCCACCATGGGATACATCACTAAGATGAATCAACATACCAAGTCCCTAAGGGAGACCACTGGATCTCATAATCCAACAATCTCACCCCAGCGACACCTGAAAGACTCGAACCTACAACCTCGCTCTGATACCAGTTTTCAAGATCAAGCATTTACCATTACACCAAAAGCTATAGCTGATAGTAAAGGTGCAACTCTGTTTTCTTATTCTCTTTCGATAGCGCAGAGCCCCGTATTAAGCGACAAGTAAACATAAGGGACTTTAAGTTGTCACCCGTACTAAGGGACTTTCATAGTATATCTCACCCATAAGGCCTCAACAAGTTAAGTTGTCATACATCGAAATTTAATCCACCATGAGATATCTTACCTAGATGAATCGACATACCGAGTCCCTAAAGGAGACCTCTGGACCCCATAATCTAACAATAATAATTTATAATGTACAGACATTAATTCTTAAACCTTTTAATTTGTACTTTTATATGTGTAAAGGTCATATTCTGAATGATCTGTCTGACAAACTGTTTAATATATATCAAAACGAGACTATTGCAAAAGAGTTATGAGATAAATTAAAGACCAGGTATATGACTGAGGATGCAACAAATAAAAAATTTCTTGTTAGTCATTTCAATAATTATCATATGACTTATGGACATTCTGTGATTGAACAATTGTGTAAAATTTAAAGAATATTTAATCAATTTAAAATAACATAATATAAGTATAAATGAAACAATTATTGTATCATCTGTGATAAATAAACTTCCTCTATCATGAAAAGACTTTAAAAGAATTCTGAAACATAAAAAAAGGAAATTACTTTTAACGCTTTGGCTAATCATCTTCGAATTAAAGAGGAATATAGAAAGCAAGTACATAATTTCAATTCTAGTGATGTCAAAATTCATGTTTTGAAGGAAAGACAAACTATAAAGTTTGATAAAAAGATGTTTAAGGTCAAGCAGATTACTAATAGGCCTAAATTCAAAAAAAATAAGAAAGGCTCATGTTACCATTATGGTAAGCCAAGACATTTCAAAAAAGAATGTCGGTTGCTATGAAAGAAAAATGATTCCTCAAAAAAAGATACTTCTAAAAAATTTGTTGCCATGATTTTTTAGAGCAACATGCTTGAAAATGATTAATCTTGGTGGGTTGATTATGGGGCAACAAAACATGTGTGCAAAAATAAATGCAAGTTCACAACATTCAAACCAAGTAAACATGACACTGTTCTCTACATGAAAAATTCTTCTATAGCAGCAATCAAAGGCAAATGGATTGTTGACTTTGAATCACTTTTGGAAAAACTAACTTTGAATGATATTTTTTATGTACCAAAAGTTAGGAAAAACTCAGTTTCTGAAAGTCTGTTGAATAAGTTTAGTTTTAAACTTGTATTTGAGGCAGATAAATTTATTCTGTCTAAAGAAAAAAATTTTGTTGGGAAAGGGTATATGTATGAGAGAATGTTCAAACTAAATATTATTAATAAAAATAAGAATGTTATTTCTACTTACATTGTTGAATCTTCATATTTATGGCATTGTAGATTAAGTCATTTAAATTATAAAAAATTACATGATATGAGTAAGCTTTGTTAATTCCTAAATTTGGTCAAGACATTAATAAATGTAACACATGCATGTTGACAAGATTACCAAAAATCCTTTTTCCTAAAGTTAAAAGAAATACAAAGTTACTTAAGTTAATTCACAGGGATATTTGTAATATGCATAGCACTTTTACATTATCTAGAAAGAAATATTTTATCACATTTATAGAAGGTTGTAATAGATATTATTATGTTTATCTATTATATTTCAAAAATGAGTACTTGATAAGTTTAAATTATATAAATTTGAAGTTAAACTTCAATGTGAATATTTTATCAAGTGCTTGAAGTTAGATAAGGGTGGATAATATTATAGTCCAAGTTACTTTGAATCCACCAGAATAATCTACAAGTTATTACTCTTTATATACCACAATAGAATGGTATAACTAAAAGGAATAACAGGGTCTTAACAGAAATGATAAATGCAATGTTATCATATTCAGGTTTTGGACAAGAATTTTGGGGTGAAGCTTTATTAACAACTTATCATATATTAAACAAAATTCCTAACAAAAAAATAAAAATAACCCCATATAAGCAATGGAAGAAAAGAAAACTAAATCTCAATTATTTAAAGGTTTAAGGATATAGAGCTGTAGTTAAAATTTCAAAACTCAAAAGAAAAAAGTTAGGTGAAAGAGGAATAGAATGCATATATATAAGATATGCATAAAATTGTAAAGCATATAGGTT